TTTTGTGAGCAAATTGTGACGGCGTTATGGCACCAACAACTGTCAAGAATCCCACAAGAGACGTCATTTAAATGCAATAAAAGTGTATGCTATAGTATTGTACCTATACTGTAGTTTTGAATGAGTGCAGCACTATTTGATTCACTCAAGTTTTTGATCAGGACGAACTCTAAAATAATGAATTGTGCCTTGAATCGAAGTAGTTTAACGGACACGCAGCGAGTGCACGAGACGTGCGTCCTTCCGTATAACGGTCCGGGCAGACTCAGGTATAACGGTGCAGCACACTGGGACAGCCCAGCCCGCTCCCATGGTACACAACTTAATAAGTCGTCATTAAACTAGTCCAAAGATGGAAAAAACAACCGGAGCAAATTTAAAACAACTTTTCTCCCTTTCGTTCTTATGTGTGCGATCTGATTTCAGCCTGTGGGACTCACCGTTGTTGCGTCGTGGCTGTGTCTGTTTTCTGCGCTGGCACCTGGGGCCATCCGCCATGATTTTTGCACTGTGTCTGAACGCTGCCTCGCGGATTGAGCCCCCTCTCCCCCTTGGTTACCCCCTCTCCATAACAGGCCCCTCTCCGCACCTGGTTTACGACATTCTGCTTTACGACATAACCTTTTTATGCAGTGAGAACACCTCTTCTCTGACGCCCCACCCTCTGTGGGCAGCCATCCACTTCTTTCAAATCTGGGGCAAAATCCTACATGTGTAATAAGCGTTTATTACATTAAGGAACAAGCGGGCAAAAAGAGTTTAGAGACACATTTACGGGGAATATGTTTATTGTAATATCGGGAGCGCCCCCGACAGGCTGGGAAGTCTGATGACGTAGTTTGTTTAACTCTTTAAATGCAGGTTAAATGTCAGCGCCAGTGCAACACAGTGCAAGTAGTGCACATAAGCGACGCGTCCGATGCACAGCATTTCAGTTGTTTTCTCTCTTTCATAAGCAAAGATACTGGGATTGGTTGGATCAGGGTTAAATATGTTGATTCATATTCACTGATATCATATTCACTGATATATATATATATTTATTTATTTAAACAGATGATTCTTAAAATATTACACCTGGTCCCCCTCAAATCCAGTTCAAAAATATGTGGTTGCTATAACAGCAAAATATTCAAATGATAAAACCATTTTAAAAAGATTGATAATAGTTAGGATTATTTAGCCTACATATCATAAATTATATGAATTGATATTTAAAAATATGATTATCAGGCAAACGTGTGGTATAGTGTGGTTTCAAATAAATGTTTTAATCTTTTCTGTTGATTACCATAGTCTTTTAACACCAAACCCACAACAAAACTTTATTCATGAATTGTAAGGGTAAAAATACTAGTTCATTGAAAGCCTAGTTTATTCAGAAAGTGGACTGTGCTGTCCTCTGCTGGAGGAAATAATCTAGTGCATCTATCGTCTCATAATGCCACAGTTTCGTCTTTTTACGTCATAATAATTTACAAAAGCGTGATTTCTTTCTTAAGTGGCAGAAATATGCTTCAATACATAGGAGAGTTACAAAAGCATACCATAATTTATTATTAATAAAATTCATATTATTTTATATTTTATTTACAGACTGCAGCCAGGTGAGGTCCTTCTCAGACCGCTTCCGCGATGTTATAGTACCTTGTTACTCCCTACATCCGTTCAAAATTATTGTCGCCTTCCAAAAGAAGATTTTATTGACAAAACCATTTTCTAACCTGATTTTAATTCGAACTTCCAGATAATTCTTCAACATTCTGTGCTCTAGAGATGGAGGTCCCGAACGCTGACAGTGAGTAGAAAAGTTATGAGTGCGGTTATGTTAGTTTATATTTGACGTTCTTTTGACATTCTCGAAAATATATACTATAGGCTACTCTCTGTTTCTATCACATATATAAGTTTTCTTTGCACGGAATTGTTTTATATCAATATTATTAGCCCTATAAATAAACAACTTAACACTTTTTCACATCACTCCAAATATGTATCTTTTCATGACACAAGGCTCTGTTTGTTTATATTCTATTTGTTATTAAATAGTCTGTAGTAGTGTAAATGTAGGACATATTTATTTAGTTGTTTGTTTGCTGTGGCTGGTCCATGGGTGTGTTGTATTGTAACAGTCACCACTGTTTCTTTTGTAGTCCCCTCCCTGGCACTAGGGGGAGTTGGGGAAGGTAACTATTCTAGCTCACCCTTTATAAGGAAGTGAGTAAGAGGGTAGCCAGGTGCTTTGGCAATCAAAATGCACACCAGTAATGTTTTTTCTAAAGCACGTTTATAAAAAAAAATATTTAAATGTCCTAATTGAACTATGGCCTAATCCTGGCTTAGTCTAAGCCCTGTC